GGGTTCGACCACTCCCCCCCCCCTCCACCTAAGTGATTTACGAAAATTGTTCTTGTATATTATAATTTATATTTTATATCGGTTATGATTTGTAAACTACTCCTCAGAATATGTTTTCTGCATACAAACACGTGTCTGCAGTCTTTGAATATCTAGTTCTTTGTCGTGTTACGATATAACATTCTGGCGACCAACTATATTATCAATCTGAATTAACACACCAAATTATATAAAAATCTAAAAATGTTCACTGTTCATATTTGAATAGAGCTATCAATCAACTCACTAAATGTTCAAAAGGAAAACTAAATACTAGTAAATAGTAATAAAGCAGTCCGGTCAAAGATTCCTAATTGAGGTACACGTCTCATTTCTTTCACTTCAGAACAACACTATAAACTATAATATAGTAATGCATTATATTTATTTAATTTTCAAGATTATGTTTAAAACTATACGTAGAGCTATATATGACATAAATTTCACTGTTTTCGCATACATTTTTTTGGGAGGATTTTATCTACTGGTAAAAATGATCTACAACAATAATAAACTTGTAATAAACAGAGATGTTAACTTTTAAGCTTTAATACTGTTCAAACATTTGAATAATATACAGAGCTCGGCATATTAAATGGAATTTATCAATAAATTAAAACGAAATAATGACAAAAAAAAATATTCTAAAAGCTCAAATTTACCAAGTATATTTTACATAAACAAATGATTAAATTCATATAATACTTAATTACAGATACTTAGGCAATAATTAATAATGTCAACATAATTTAATCTATTATAATTATCAATAAACGTTTGGTTTAAAACGCTGGTTACTTTCACATGTCGTCACAGATTTTAGAAAAGATTTGAACATATATCAACACTGAAATAATCAGAGCAATCGTATTTGTTTAATTGGGTGGGTATGTGATTTAGTCTAGACTCAGCTTACATCAAATATATACCTAACTACAAAAAAAAGGATTGGACAATTTTTGAAAAATAAATAATAAAATTATATCTTCTAATTACTAACAAGTAACTATAACAACTAAATAGCGATCAATTAAACAGAATGGATTGCGATTTATTTATTAGGATCATCTGCAATCTGCAACAACTATACCTAATCTTTTCAACGATGCGCTTTAGGAAATGCGTCACATCCTAATTGAAAGTGTACTGAGTTTAATCAAGCATAGAAGTAGAACACAATGAAAGAAAGGCTTAACGCAAGAAACAAATTGTATTGACATAAATATTCCAGTTACGAGTTATAGAGTTTATACAATAAGAAATAATTAATTAACTGTAGAATCCATAACAATATCTATAAAACAAATAATAATGTAAGCTTATACACATAATATTATAAAGTTTCAAGTAAGGATTGAATTCGACCAGATTTAAAGTGATATTAATGACTGAAATGAATCTACTTGTCTCTAAAAACGAAAATTAATATTTGAAGAAGTATAAATACCAATTTGCACTTACTTATTATCACTATACATCATATTATTATTATCTACCGTGCTCGTAGGTACCGCATTATATGAGTAATGTACTCGGTATAAAAAATTCATTAACTTTTTTTAACGACGACTGTTGTCGAATTTATTGTTACATTAGCTGTTTAAGTGATCGTATATATATAGTAATGGATTGTAATTATAGACAATTAAGAAACTAAAACAATTCTAAAATAAATGTTCAAGAAACCTGTATGGATTCCGGAAAACTATATAATACTAAGGGAAATCATTTATAAAAAAAATGTCTTTAAATTGAAAATTATTTTTTTTTTTATTTATTGGAATATATACAATCTGTAATAATAGTTACATTGTTACAAGCGTAAGACAAAAACAAAATAATGGCCTAACATCTTGAGGAGAGTAGCTACCCAGCAGTAACTCTCAGATTTAGAAAAATATAAATAATTTTCTTCGTATTTTGAGTTTAAGGGGATTTATTATTAAAAATATATTTTCAAAATGTAAAATATAAAAGTTTAAATATACAATACAATATAAATAACTAAATTTTGCCTCCACATTTTAACAAAAAGTCTTTATTTATTAATTATTACCTATACTCGCTATCACGTGCTCATTTATAAATTTATATATTTTTAAACACAAATCTCAGGTTGTTTCGAAATTAAAATAATAAACATAAGAAGTATATAGACATTAAGTATTCATACAATATCCACAATTGAACTTGATGAATCCGTTTTTGGACTTCTTTCAGTACATTTAAAAATATAGCACATAATCTTATTAATAAACACGCACATGCATTTATTATTATTTTTTAGAATTGTTTTATTGCGAGGACTACACGGAGGAAGGTTAAAAGTGAAACACGGGAAGTAATCACGTATCCAACTGCATATTAACTCTTAAAGTAAATGGTATAGATATAAAAAATTGTATTTTAACTAAAAATACTTAATAAGTGCCTACTGGATACACCAATCAATATATTTTACGAAATAATTCAAATTTTGCTAATATTAGTAAAAAAATATGTAAATACCTAAACCCTTGCAAGGAGCTAGCTTCTATTCATAATCTACTCTATAATATACTAATCTATGCTTCTACTACACACAAGTTATAGCGTATTAATACATCGTCATTCAGTCATTGACCATTATTGTAATGATTGTGTTTGAAATTCAATTCATTGAATACGAAAAACGATTTTGATCTAAGGAGATATATTTTTTTTGTCCAAATTTGAATTTAAAACGCTTATTTGTGACTGTATTTTCGATATAAAAATTTTTAAAAAAATGTAAAATGACTGTAAATAGCTCGAAGTTAGCTAAGCTATTTTAAAAACTATATGTCTATAAACATAAGGTGAAAATGTCAAGTCTCTACATTAGGTAATTTTTGTATTATAACAAAAAAAAATAAATTGATTTTGTCAAAAACTAATCATCCGGTTATTTCCAATTATTTTGAAAAGTGCTGAGAATTCGGTGTGCTCAAAATCTGATAGACAGTAGACACGCATTTATTTACAAAATGTCAGCAGCTCACAATTTTTTATTGATCCGCGGAAATGCCATTCCATGCAAAATAAAGTAAGACTATGGAGAAATGAGAACTGACAAATTTAGATATAATATTCGTACATATATATATTGAAAAATTACGCTTCCCCTTAAGTAGATAGACAATTAGAAAGGAAAAATGGTGTAGAGATCCTGCCACCAAAACATAACTGTTTTTGATGACTTTTAAAATTGTAAAAAACTACATTTTAAGGTGAGATTTTAAAGTTTTCATCCCAACAATTTTCATTTTTATTTAAGTTTGGTCTCATTTTTCGACATAGTATTATGTTTAACGATGCAAGATATAGACCAAAATTTTATTTATAGTAAACATACTAGAGTCTCGTGTCTTACAAAATAATTCAAGAACATTAAAAATGATCAAAAAAAGAGACTTTTTTATCAAAACATTACATCTCATTAATATCTTCATTAATTAAAATTAATATAAATTCAGTAATATATTATTATTTAATAAATGTTATTTTAGATAATGATGTCCACAATAATAAGGATTTTAGTAACTTATTTTTAGAAACATTTATAATTTAGATTCTGAGCGGAGTGATGAGCATATTTTTAAGTCGTATTAAATGTAAAACACACAAATATTTTCGTAGAGGTACAAGACATGTACAACGACACAATGTTATATTCATAATATATGTGTAGACACTTTTGTGTAGGTACGAGGTGCAGATACCTAATACAAATGATCAAAAGATTTTAAAATAGGTACTGCAATATTTGAATTATATAATATATAATATTACTTCCAATAATTCCATTACAATAGACATTTTTTTTCTTAGAAACAATGATATTGATAAATCAATTTATTATTTCTTGTAAATATAGTTGTTATTTACAATATAATATACACTATCAAACTCCATTTCACCATCTGATACATAAAATATTTAAAATAAATTAAAAACTTATAAAGCACTTAAGTCTAAAATATTAAAATATATCAAATTAATACTTATTTACTGATTCAGTTAGAAAGAACTGAAATAACTCGAGTCGGCAAGACTGAATAAAGTATAGAACATAGAGAATCAAAATTTAATTTCTAAATGTATTGTATAGTATCATAATTTTATAGTCAAATAGGTACTTAGATAATATAAGTTGGTATTATAGAGTGTGGTTAAGTGGATTAATTGTAGGTAATAAATGTTGATTTTCGGTATTTTGTGATGAATATATTATTTATCCATTGATCACTGCTTTATACATAAAATATACAAAAAACATATTTTATTAATTGTTTTGTGGTTGTATTCTTATATTAGAACATAGGAAAAGAAAAACTTGTTTGATTGTCCTTTTTGTCCATAGTGTTATGTTTAGAACTATAAATGATAATTTAAGTTTAAATGTCAGATGTTCAGTCAGTGATGGTCAAATGATTTTATCATGGGAGGGAATAAGGCTGATTTTTTAACATTCACTATTTAATTATTAAAAATATAATTTATGGTTACCAAAAATTAAACATTGAAAAGGGGTCATGGGGGAATATATCCTAACTATATAAGATGAATTATAATTAGAAATCAAATGTTAATGTTTAATTTAGTATGTACAACATACCTATAACAGTTATATTATTATTACACACATTGACACAATAATATTTAATATAAAATATCCAAAATAATGTGTACACTTACAAAAAATTCACATAGTTGTCAACAACCTTCCCTGACTATATTGTACCACTTGAATGTTTAAAGAATTTAAAATATTTTTCTAATTTATAGTCTTACTAGTTATTCGTTATTATATTGTATATTAATCTTGTTTAATTAAAAATATAAAGAAATGGAGTTTGCATCACATTTTATTTCAGATTTATCCGTTCATCAATTGATATTTTATTAAGCTTACAGATTAAATAAATATACATACACAGCAATTATAATTACATAATTTGTATTTTGTATGAACCTATGACATATTCAAATTTATAAATGTACTACTGAAAATCAAAACAAATGTACATATATGACTCATCGGTCTATTTAAAATGTATTTATAGGTACCTAATAAAATTCTAAAATAACAAAATTATTATTCCTTTTTTAAAGTCTCTGACAATGGTTTCTCTAGCAATAAATCGAGATCGTTTTCTTCACGTAATATGAAAAAATATACCATAAATAAAATTAAGCTTGCACTGACGACGTGGGGTTCATACCATGGACCAAATTCAGCCTTGCTTCCTATACGAGAATGTTGAGCTTTCCAATTGTGCGCAGGACTTGTTGTATATTTCACGGGTTTATTTAACTCTTCTTCAAAGTTATTGGATGCATTTCGAGTGACTATCGACGATGATTGGGTTTTCTTTTCACTAAAAACCAGTGTTAAAAATGAATAACAGCACATAAAGTTGATTTATCATAAAAATGTAACAACATTACTTGTGTTTTAATAAGCCATTTACGATTTTGTTCCTAGCGGCGAATGACCTCCATAACTGCTTTGACAACATGGCTGTGGTTGAGTTGTAAAAAATGGTTGGCGTAACTTGCCTAGGCTTTAAAAATTCCAGTAATATTCAACTCGAAAACTTTTAAGTCCAAAAACGAGACTAATAACATATTTGATAATATCGTGAATTGCTCATATCGCGGATTTGTCTTATCACATTGTCCTTTTCACAAGAAAAACAGCTGCTACAACATCTGTAGTCGCCCGTTGAAGTCCCGTCCGTGATATAACTAAATGCGTAAATATTTACTCTATATAACCTCATATATTTTCCCCTAGATCGCGGTAAATATTTCATCTTATAATTAGCTGTCTAAAGCAACTATAACCGATGTGTAACATTTTTGAGTTACAGACGTTACAGTGTTAGATATTTCTATAACCACGATGTAGTTAACACGGTGTGGTCACTTCCTATCTTTTATTAAGACATTTTTGAGTCGTAATTTGACGGCATTTATGGCGGGCATTGTCCTCCAGGAGCGCTAAGAAGGCCGATTCTTCAAAACATACTGTGTGACGGTGTCCGCATTTGAACTTTGCGAACGAATCTAGTTTACTTCCCAAGCATTTTTTCTTAATTTTTTTTTTTTTTTTGGAAATGTTCATTTCTTTAGACTTTAGAGTATTTAAATTTAAACTGAACCCAGATTTCCATATGACTCTTATGTGTTTATTATTAACTAATATAGAAATACAATTTTGACCAATGACCATAACATAAAAATTAAGTTTGAGCGAAGAAAAATTTGGTGTTTTATTAGTATGATATTAATTTCCCTTTTATACTGTAATACTGAAGATAAGTAGGTACCTACATATCAAATAGTCTATTATATAATAATAAAAGTTATGGTCAAAAAACTTCAAAATGCTCGATTTCAACATCATCGTGTTTTTGAGATTAAAATACTAATGCCGGGTTTCGTGAAAAATGTATTGATTTAACGGTCCAATAAAATATAATAAACCAATCATGGGCCACTAAATCATGTTTAAAGGACCATTAGTTCACAATTGATTCGTTAAATGTTTAGTGATTGTTCACAACCCGTCATAAGAACTTACATTTTTTGGAATTTTCTTTTTAGAAAATGTTGGTATTTTTATGCTCAAGAGTTGGTGAAATCAGAATATACCCATCTTACTTACTTTTTTTGAATTGTTAAATAAACGACGTAAAACGTACAATTAAGTTTTAACAATAATATAAGAAGTAAGCAAAATAGATAAATTCTGATTTCACCAAGGCGTGAGCATAAAAATACTAACATTTCCAAAAAAAAAAAATTGCTAGGGAAGTAAACTAAATTTGTTCCTACAGGCTAAAGTTTAAATGCGGCCATACAGTATGTTTTAAAAAATTGGCCTTCTTAATGTTCCTAGAGGACAATGCCCGCCCTAAACGAGAAGCATCAGATCTATTGGTTTTACAATGATGTTTATTTTTTTTTGTCTACAGACACTCACTTCTTTGGATAGTAAACTTCGTCAGAAGTCACGTTCAGTTACTATATCTATCGCTCTCTATAAATTGGAAATTTACAAATTGTCCCTTTGAAAATGATCAGGTGCAGCATTTAAAACTTAAGACATAATAAATTCACAGTGATACCTAGTGCAATATTAGTTCTAAAACATTCCATACATGTACTATTGTTATTATACTATACCTATTGTATAATATTAGAATTTATGTAAGTAGGTATAACTAATCAAAACCCCCTTAATTCCCATCTTTCTCCCCTTGTTCTTCGCATTAAACAAATTACCCTCATACTTCACCAGTCAAATTATTCCATCCAATTTCTGTGGATCCCAAGCCATATAGGGATTAATGGTAATGAGATCGCCGACAGTCTTGCCAAGTCTACATCTAATTTAATTTGTTCCTCTCTTATCCAACTTCCTCATACCAACTTCACTCCTTTCATACGGCACCACATAAAACACCTCTGGGCTTCCCAGTGGTCAAAGCTCCCACTAGAATTCGCAGCCAGATATAAAAATATTGTTCCTTAGATCCCTCATAAAACCTGGTTCAACAACCTCCACCTATCAAGAAAATCCATAGTTCAGTTTAATCGCCTTCGTTCAGGACGTTCAGGTCACACACTTCTACCTGCCCATGCATACAAATTAGATTTAAATGACGCCCCTTTCTGCACCTTACATTTAACAGAATGTCTTTGTGATATATCTCACATTCTTTTCGAGTGCCCTTCCTTGCACTTAAAACGCACTATCTTGTTTAACTCTTTAAAAGCTTTTAATATTACCCCTAACCTTTCCTCTATCCTTAACTCTACATCTGTAATAGTAATAGCTCAAATCTTAGCCTTTATTTCGGAGGCTGGCTTTTGTATATAATTTTGTTCTTCTATTTTTAATTTTTTTTCTTTCTCTTTTATGTACTCTTTGAAAAAAATTTTTTTTCTGTATTATGTAATAAGTGTTTTAAATTGTTATTATCCGTAATCGTTTTTATCTATATTGTTTTCATAATAATTGTAGAGCTATAATTGTATATACAAGAAGCTAATAAAATAAAAAAAAATTTTAAAAAAACTAATCAAAAAATAAAAAAATAAATATTATTTTGCACGAAGCCATTTGTATCACTGGCCCTGTTCCATAGGCGTTGCTTGATGAATGTATATAGGCGGGCTATAGCCCTCTTACCCCCCCCCCCCCTCCCATTCGCTGAGACAGAAATTTAGTTTTGATTTAGTGGACATATGGGTGGTAAATATTTGTTCAAAACGCAAATTAAAATTTTTAAAAATATCGAATTTTATATTAAATTAAAATATGAATGTTGATGCAATTGTTGATCAAATATAAAATTGTAAAATTATTTGTTTCAGTGCAAGAAGTCTGGGTTTTATACGCATCCGCCGCTGGTGTACGACTGACAAAACCTTGTATGTACCTATACCTACATTATTCTATTTATTACAGGCACAGCAATATAGAATATATTACAATATAGATTTATACATGTTATACCTAACTTATAAGTATTAAAATTTAAAACTAAACACAATTTTACTCAATCATAATATTATTATCTAAATAATTTTTTACTTTATGAGTAGCTAAGTGAGTACCTATAGGTTCTTAAATAATCTATCCTAGTGCAGTAGTGCGTCTTTTGACAGTTTTACTTGTGACACAACGAAAGATGGGACGATAAGTGTTTATTGCTCTGTCAGGCTAGTTAAATATGTGTGCTGCACCAGACTTAAAATACTGAAGATGTCTTTGATATTTTATATCCCTTGTAGCGTATGCGAAAATCACACACAGGGTACCGACAATATTCTACCGATTAATCAATAAGTTATGTAATATTTCAATTGCATACCAACACATTAGGTTAAGATTCAAATTTGTGTCTTACCCAGCTACTTTTTAATTTAATAAATATAAATATGGAAATGCATAAAATTCCGGGCCGTAATTATTACATATACATAATATTATAATTAAATAATTACACATTAAACTTTATTATAAATAATCGTATGTACCTACATAATATACAAACAAATTACTCTAATGATGTGAATTACCATTCAACAAGTATTTTATTTATATTAGAGTTTTTAAAATTGAACGAATTATTGAATACACTTTTTTTATATTAAGTAGCAATAGTGACATTGAGTTAAGAAAATGTTGAGCCAAGATTTTCCACGAATTTATGACCAAACCATTTTTTGCAGTGAAATTTGATTTAGCATCAACATTAGCTCTAATTTCCATTTTATTATATTATATATTAATGGTTAATAATATAACTAATAATATAACAGGCTATAAGTCTATAGCAATCAACAATTATTATATAATATTTTTCTATATTCTATGTTCTATTTCACAAAAATTAGTTTAACCTACTTATACTTACCTTGTATGTTATAATTATTTACTAATAGAAAAATAAATTAGCTATCAATTATCATAAACATTTAATATATATACCTAATAGCAATTAAAATATATATCATAGTAAAGATATATTCTTAAAAATATATTCTGACACACCAGTACACCACCTACTCTCAAAATCTATTTCTCGTAATGTACTCAATGATTTATAGTATAGAAATCAAATGTAACACAATATCTATTTCAGAGTCGGAGATCCTACACGCGCGGCGCTATACTTAAATACTCTATGATGAGGTGCACTCGAAACCTATATTATATGTACTGATATAGCAGACTGAGCAGAGCTACTCTCCCTGCTGTTTATTTGATTTATATTCTCGAATTAACCATAGATAATAATATTATATATGTTGTTGTTCATTTGTTGACAGTTGACATTATTAATTATTTTAACATAGGCATATTTTGTACCTATACTGCAGTTGTATTATACTATTTCTATTATGTTTGTACCTATACTCGAAGCCTCGTAAATATATATAATTGTGATGAATGGGATGAATGTGATGAGAAATAAAAATCATCATTTAAAAATTACTATAAATTATATAATATACCTAATTTATTATACTTATAATATACATATTATACAACTATTAGACAAAATTTTCAATTTTTATTTTCAAACTGAGTTCTTTGGAATTTAATCTGAAATAGGTATTAGTGTCCTATTTAATATAAGTATTTTTTTACATTGGAAATTATATACCATAAAACCTAATAAAGTTGTTATTTCAAAAATCGTAGTAGCATTTAAAAGATGATAATATAAGAAACAATTTTGTTGATTTATTTTTAAACTGCAATTTCACGCTTAATACTATGTAACAATTGGTAATAATACCCACATGCTATTATTCCTCTATTAAATATATGACAATTGACCAGATTACAGCCGGGTCATGCCACATAACGTACCTTTAATAGTTTTTTGCGGTGAAACCCAAAAGCGCAAATCAATTTTGAGCTTTTGTACCTTAGTAGTAAAATAAAAGCTCAAAAATAAATTGTACCCGTTACCCTATAAGTTTCAGTTTAAAATGTGATGATCATTATATTTCAATAACAACAGTGATCAAGTTCAGTTGAGAATTTACAATCGCCAGAAGTTTAGTATATTATATTATTATCATAATAAATTACGGTGACAGTTGATAATCAATAATTATTTAAGATAA